GTCAATTACCCACCATTGTGGCTCTCCTTCCCCCTTCAGCATTTGTAAAGGCAGCCAAGGGGTCCACCAGGACCTCCACAGTCCTCTGGATGTTCATTGTGTAAAAATGTTCACTTATGCTCCAAGAGATGTCTGATGGGGAGATCAGGCTCAATCCGTTCAAATCTCTCTTTGTATTTCTCTTGGATATATATCAAGAACTGGAATTGCTGAGGAAGGGCAATGTTTCTTTTACTATTTTGAGGAATCATCACACATGAGGGTTACTATTTACATGGTATGCATTTGTGGCAGTCTAATAAGCACAATGTGTCCATGCCTGTTGTCATTTTTACTCAATGCAGAACTCCAAAGTCCTTGCATATGGACTGGTATAAAAGATGACCCCACACCTGTGGGGGGTGATTGCACAGATGTTGCCATGTTCTGGAAGGAGCTGACATCCTAGAAACCATACTAGTATGTCCTTGTTCTCTGTCATCTCTGGAAGATAATCTCATATTCTGTGACTGTATGGCAGAACTTGCTGAAAGCCAAACCCAGGATCTCATCCTTCAAGTGGCAGAATTACAGTGCAAATTGATTCCCAGCTTCGTGGGACATCTGTGTTCAAGTGAGGGCATTGACTGGGAAGGAGTGAGCTCCTGAATGTTGAATAGGAACGTATGGGAAGACCCTAATGAAGCTGAGGATGTCGAGCCCATAAATTCTGAAGAGAATTCTTCACCAGTAGAAGCATCCTCTCTCTCTCCATAGTAGGAGGTTAACTCTCCATTTTCCAAGGGAACCGTAATGGCCTGTTCCCTGACAGTTGCCATGCAAGAAACTGCTTGTTCTCCTCAGGACCAACCCCATCATCAATTTTTGCTTCTACATCCATACTAGGTGTAGACTCATGAGGAGGCATTCTGCACTCCAAAGTAACTACTTGAGTTTTCTAATTTATGCCCATGGAATGGTGTGGTTCACATATATGTAGTAATTGATTTGGGGTGTGAGATAATGGTAGAAAGAATAAAAATCAAGTCATGGCAAATTCATTGATTTAGACCCAGTAAACAGAGATATCAAAATTTTTTGTGGAGCCCAGTCAGGGTTTGCGAGGCCATCTCAGAGGTTTTCAGTGGGTGCTCAAACTCCATAGTCTTGTTTCCTCTGGATCAGGAGTTCCTACGCCTGTGAAGTCTCATTATATGCCTTCTCCCTGCTCTACAGAGAGAGAAATGGTGCTTAGAACTTCTGATGGTTCCACTAGGGTTGATCCTGAAATACTCAGGCCTATGTGCCAAACTTGATCTTCAATACCTACTGTGGGCCATGGAAATTCCTACCTTACTTCAACCACACTTGAGTATGTTGTATGCACAATCAAGGTAGTTTACAAAGTACAAATTTAATACTGCCTCTAGCAATACATGCACTAGAAAACACCAAAAGAAAGTCAGTGAGATCTTTGCCTTCATCTACCAGTCCTTGTGGCTTCATCTTCAACACAACCTTCCCATACTACCTTGATGTTACCATTGTAACAAATTACATAGGATTCTTTCCTTTCGTTTAAACATCAAGTTTTTGTTGGGAATGCCTCCCTAAATAGGAAATGTTGTATCTTTCTGTTGTTATTGGAATATCTATTCAGTCATTCTGTCTATGTTTCATTACTCACAATCATTTTTGAAAATTGATTCTCATTCTTGTTTTCAGTTTTTGTTCAGACCTTTTCTCTTCTGTAAATGTAATATTCCAGTGTACACATATATGATCAAGTTGTCTTTTGCTGTTGCTGGATAGAATTTTGTACTGCAGAGCTTTTAACAATAGGTGCAGTCTCCTATCAACATTGTGAGTGCATCCTGATGCATATGTGTGTGTTTTTATTAGGGTGTATACCTCAGGACCATAGCTGTGAGGATCTTCCTTTTCATTTCGTGATCCAATCTACCCTGTTAATTGATTAAGGCAATTTCTACCAGTCTTTAGTGCATGATGATTTTATGTGCTCATCATTGTCTCCAGACAGGATGTTGCTGACCTCATTTTCCTCCATATGGGAAGGACAGGATTTTTGTATCATTATTTCACTGAAATGATGGCCTATCCTTGGGGCATATGCACACACTGTGAATGCCAGAGAGATGTGGTGTAGCAGCATCACACTCCCTTGGGAAAGACAATTCTGCACATCCCTTTGCAACTCCACATCTAGTGACGTCACTCTGGCACCTGGAATCTGGTAGAGAGAGGACCCGCATCACAGAAATTAACAAATGCCAGATGATGAGACATTTTCAAACATTGATTTTATCAGAGTGTGGTTTTTCAGTTTTCCACTTGGGGCTCCCACCAAATACTACTGTGCAATCACCAATGGTTTCTGAAGAGATAATACAAGACAATGCCATTAAGAATGGAGGATCTTTCTTGGTGGGACTGGGGTTTAAACTCAGGGCCCATGCATTGCAAAGCAGGTGGTCTACTATTTGAACAACTACTCAATGTATTTCGGTCCAGTTATTTTGGGGATGGAACCTCACTCACTATTTGCCCAGGATTGCCTTGAGCTGTAACCCTCCAGATGTCAGCCTCCCAGATAGCTGGGGTTACATGCATGAGTCACTGGTGCCCACCATGTTTGGAAGACCTAAGGGCACCATCTGCATATATTTGTTTCAGGTTGGAATCTGAGTTTTCCCATTTATTATGTTATTTTCAGCAGATTCTGTATTTGAGCTGAAGAAATGGAAACACAGAGCACACATTAGGCAATGTGGTAATTACCACAAAGTGAGATGTTACCTGAAGTGCAAAAGACAGGTGAGGATGATAGAGGTACAAAAGGGTAGGGAAAGAATGAGCAGCATTGAGGGGAAGATGTCACAATTTATTGGAGGAAGACTTTTCTACACAGAAAATCCAAAAATTCCCTTATCCCAACCATGCCATCCCTGCATGATTTACAGAAGTCAGTTCACCCAATTTATGTTCCAGATTTTCTTCTAGAACCACCTTTTCATGTAGGATTCATCTCCCAAACTCCACTAGTCTGCATGTGCCCTGCTTTCTCTCCTGCTTACTGCCTCCTTGTATCTTGTGTCCTTCTCTGGCTGTACAAGGCCTCAAATAGTAGAATACCAAGAAACACAAGGACCAGGCCAGCCATGTCCATGTGGATGAGATTCTGTACAGTGTAAAACTGGGGCTGTGTGTCTGGGGATTGTGGACAAAGGGAATGTGGAGGTCAGGCAGGGCAACATCACCCCAGGATCCCTGTATATCCACTTGAGGACTCTGCTTCCTGAACAGGATTTGACTCTCTCTCTCTCTCTCTCTCTCTCTCTCTCTCTCTGTGTCTCTGTGTGTGTGTGTGTGTGTGTGTGTGTGTGTGTGTTCTGTAAATTCTCCTTAATCTCCCATCATGAAGTCTGACATTCTGCATGTTGGGCTGAGGACTGAGCTGCTCCTGAGAACCAAAGCAGAGAAGTAGGACCTGTGAAGTGTTTAAGGACCTGAGTCTTTCCCCTGGGCTTCACAATTTTGTGTCTTCTCCTCATAACATAACTTCACGTAGCTCTTGTATGGACCGTTTCCCTGATGTAGCAGGGTCCTCTTAGGTCTCCTTGTTGTATTCTTCTAGGATCATATATTATTTGTATTCAGTTCTCCTTTCTAAGTCACTGAGGGACTCATTTACCTGAGGACTCAGTTCAGGCCAAAATCACCAATGCAGGATGCACTCAAGTGGTAGAGTGTCTACTTTGCAAGTGCTGAAACCCTGAATACAAACCCTAGTCCCATCTAAAAGGAAGAATAAAACTGGAAACACATGGGACTGAAATATTAGTTAGGTGGATGACTATTCCTAACTACAGATTCAATATGCTATGGTTTGAATATTTGTGTCCTTTTTAAAATTTACATTGAAACTCAGTCCACAGAGGAACAGTAGAAACAGGTGGTGTTTGTGGGTAAGTAGATGACAAAAATTTCTGCTTTGTTCATGGTTCAGTTGCCAAGGGCACTGGCTAGACCCCTGTCTACCTCTCTGTTCCTCTCACCCTTGGCAGATACCAAGCTGCCTGTCAAGACCTCAGACTTCCTTCCTCCACAAGTAGGAGAAATGTCCAGGCTGTTTATCTGTCACCCTGTCTCACATGCAGGAAAGGAGATTCACTCCTAGAATGTCAGCAAGAAGTGAATCTCTGTCAGCAACTTGATTTTATCTATGTGACACCCATTTCTGGATACCAAGTTTAAAGAGCAGTAAAATAGTCTTTGAAACTGCATAGTTTTAATTCACTGAACTTGCAGAAATTTGTTATATTAGCACTAGAAAATGCATTATACATAAACATTGCATACCCAGCTCAAGGAACAGCAGTGGTATTTGGAGGTTAATGAAAGTGTGTGTGTGTGTGTGTGTGTGTGTGTGTGTGTGTGTGTGTGTGAACCTGGCTCTATCTTGCTACAAGGCTCTCACCATACTCACTGCACCACAGTTGCATCCTGGCAATCTGGAGCTCATTCCCTGGCTAATGGGATTTCTCTAAGAACTCTCCTGGCAGTTTCTTCTTCCTTTCTCATTCATCTCCTCTCTGTTAATATTGGAGCTAGAATCAACATTGCATTTTTTCCTGGCAGAGGGTCTGGTTTACTCTCCTATTCCCCACTTGGAGAAAGGTGGGAAGTCCTGACTGCAATAAACTAGGGCCCAAAGAATTTTCTGAGCCCATGATGGCCCTGAATTCTTTCTGATGTTATAGAGTTTGGGGATCATAGAGGGAAGATGATAAGGCCAAGACCACAGAAAAAGACAGTGGCTAAGCCAACACTCGAACTCAAGGATTCTGGTCCCCAGGTTTCCAAGCAGGGAGAGGAGGATGGTTTACTCATCAGGTTTGGAGTCTGGTTCTGTGGATGAAGAGCACCTACTTGAGGTGTTTACTAGAAAAGAGGACAGGAGAGGAAAGAGAGGTGGACAATGAGTCTGCCTGTCTTTTACACTATGGAAGCCTGAGATTGGTCACCACTAGATTCTCCCCATAATTCTGAGCCTTATCAGTCATAGGATACATTTCCCCAAAGTCTTCAGGGAGGTCCCTCCCTGAGACCTCATCTGTGAGGAGATGACAGAAGTTACTGGTGGAAAGATCTCTGTGGATAAGAGATCAGGAAGGGGACACTGGGAAATGCATAAAGGCCAGGAACTGATACCACCTCTTACCTCCTCATACTGAGCCCAGCCTCAACCCCTGGGTCTGTGCTGACCTCTTTCTCTATCTGCCTGGCTGAATAGTCACCCCAGTGTGGGCCTCCATGAAAGATGAGGAGGGTTTCAAGGAGTCCTGTCTGACATTCTGCACCTTGATGTCTTCTGTCTTACTCAGTCTCTGTTTTCCTCTCTCTGCATCTCTGTGCTTGTTTATTTCCATCATCAGCGGGTGTTCTTCAGATACAGCTTTAGGATTCAGTTTGTTTGAGGTACAAGACATAGGACAGATATGAGACTTGCTCACCTGTGACTGAAAGTTGCAGGGAGTCACTCGGAGATGACCAGGCATATGAAGTGCCATGGAAGGAGCCACAGCATCTGTAGGTCCTTGTGTGGGTGACAGGACCCAGATGGAAGTCACCTTGGAATGTACCATTGTGGCTCTGTGCTGCAGGGAGAGAGTGTTCCTGTGGTTCCCCCTTCCTGGACAGATGGTACATGCCAATGAAATTGTCAGAACTGCAGGACAAGGTCACATTCTCTCCTGACCTCACCACAGAGCTGGCTGGGCTAAGAGAAAAGGTTTGTTTAATTGATCTGGAAGAAAAAGAGGCTGTTTAGTTAGGGAGGATATTCCTGATCACTGTGTCCTTCACTCCTGAACTAAGAACTCTCTCTTCCTTCTCCCAAGACTTACCTCCCCATGTCCATTTATTTGCTTATACTTTCTCTGTCTCTTTAGGACTCTGACTTCACCCCTGTACTCCAGGCTTGCTTTTCTTGATTTTTTTTACAGTCTGCTTCTATTAGCAATGTTTCAGTTTGATCTGTCTTTACCTTTTAATTGAAGTCTCATTTTTTTCTCATGTCTCTGTCCTTATGCATCTGTGTATCAACCAATCTATGTTTTAAAAAATTGGATTCTTCAAAAGGGATTCGTAATATATTCAATAAATTAATAACAGAAAACTTCCCAAATCTCAAGAAAAATCTTGCCTATTCAGGTACAGGAAGCCTCCAGGACACCAAACAGACTTGACCAAAATAGAACATCACCCATGGCATATTACCATTAAAACAACAAGCACAGAGAATTGAGAGAGAATACTGAAGGCTGCAAGAGAGAAAAAACAGATAACATATGAAGGTAAACCCATCAAAATCACAGCAGATTTCTCAACAGAAACCTTAAAAGCAAGGAGGTCATGAAGTGAGTTATTTCAGGCACTGAATGAAAATTATTTCAAACCTAGGATACTCGAACTGGGGAATTATCATTCAAAGTAGATGGAGCAACAAAATCTTCCATGATAAGCAGAAACTAAAACAATATATGACCACCAAGCCACCACTACAAAAGATTCTGCAAGGAATTCTGCACACAGAAAATGAAAGCAAACAAAATCGTGAGAGGACAGGCAACACCAAATCATAGAAGAAAAGACAAGGAATCAGAGAGTAGTATTGATGCAACTGCACACAATCAAATCCTTAAACAACAAAAACAACTAAATGACAGGAATCACCACATACATACCAATACTAACACTGAATGTTAACAGACTCAACTTCCCCATCAAAAGACACTGTCTGGAAAACTGAATTAAAAAGGAAGATCCAACAATATCTTATTTACAGGAGACCCCATCTCATTGACAGAAACAAACACTGGCTTAGGGTGAAAGGACAGATTTATCAAGCCAATGGCCCCCTAGGAGTAGAAATACTTATATCAGACAAAGTAGACATCAAACTTACACTGGTAAATGAGATAAAGAAGAACATTTCATACTAATAAAAGAATAAATATACCAAAAGGAAATAACAATTATCAACCTATATGCACCCAATGTCAGTGCATCCAATTTCATCAAACATACTGTAAAGGACATAGAGCACATATAGACTCCAACACTGTGGTAGTGGGAGACTTTAATACTCCTGAACACTATTAGATAAGTCATCCAAACAAAAAAACAACAAATTGTAGAAGTAAATCATGCATAGATCAAATGGACCTAAAAGATGTCTACAGAATATTTCATCCAAACAACAGCACAATATACATTCTTCTCAGCAACCCATGGAACTTTCTCCAAAATTGATCTTAGGGCACAAAGCAAGCCTCAGAAAATATAAGAAAATAGAAAAATCCACTGCATTTTATCTGATCACCATGCATTAAAACTAGACTCAACAACAAAAACAATAGTAGAAAATATGCAAACAATTGGAAGCTGAACAACATATTGATTAATGATCAGTGGGTCATACATGAAATAACAGGGGAGATTAAAATGTTCCTGGAAGTTAATTAAAATGAAAACATACTTACCAGAACCTATGGGACACAGCAAAAATAGTCATAAAAGGAAAATTTACAGCCATGAGTGCATATATTAAAAGGACGGAAAGATCTCAAATAAATGACCAAATGTTATATCTCAAACTCCTAGAAAAACAAGAGCAAACAAAACTCAAATCAAACAGAGGAGGAGAAATAATAAAAATAAGGGCCAAAATTAATGAAATAGAGACCAAAAAAACCATACAAACTATCAGCAAAACAAAAAGCTGCTTCCTTGAAAAAATAAACAAGCTTGACAAACCCCTGGCTAACCTGACTAAAATGAGGAGGGAAAAGACCCAAATCAGTAAAATCAGAAATGCAAAAGGGGAGATAACAACAAAAACCAAGGGAATTCAGGGAATCATTAGTGACTACTTTGAGAACCTATATTCCAATAAATTGGAAAATCTTGAAGAAATGGACAAATTTCTAGATACTTATGACCACCCAAAACTGAACCAAGAGGATAATAACCACCTGAACAGATTTATAACACGAAATGAAATTGAAGTCGCAATGAAGTGTCTCCCAAAAAAGAAAAGTACAGGACCTGACAGATTCTCTGCTGAATTCTATCAGGCCTTTAAAGAAGAAGTAATGCCAATTCTCCTTAAACTTTTCCATGAGATAGAAAGGGAAGGAATACTGCCTAATTCATTCTATGAATCCAGTATTACACTCATCCCAAACCAGAAAAAGACACATCCAAAACAAACTATAGGCCAATGTTTTAATAAACATTGATGCAAAAATCATCAGTAAAATAATGCCAAACCAAATCCAACAACATATCAGAAAGATCATTCACCATGACCAAGTCAGCTTCATCCCAGGGATGCAGTAATGGTTCAACATATGCAAATCAATAAATGTAATACAGCACATAAATACAAGAAAAGACAAAAACCAATTGTTCATCTCAATAGATGCAGAAAAAAACCTTTGATAAGATTCCATACCACTTCATGATAAAAGCTTTAAGAAACCTAGAAATAGAAGGAGTGTACCTCAACATTATAAAGGCTATATATGACAAACCTATAGCCAACACCATACTTAATAGGGAAATACTGAAACTGTTTCCCCTAAAATCAGGAATGAGACAAGGGTGCCCACTCTCCCCACCACTACTCAACATTGTCCTGTAATTCTTAGCCAGAGCAAGAAGGCATGAAGAAGTAATAAAAATAATACAAATAGTTAAAGAAACTGTCAAAGTATCCCTATTTGCAGATGACATGATCCTACATCTCAAAGACCCAAAAAACCTCCTATACACACTAAACAATTTCAGCAATGTAGCAAGGATACAAAATCAACTTACAAAAACCAGCACCTTTTGTATACAACAAATTGAGTCAGAATATTGGAAAACAATTCCATTTCAATAGCCTCAAAATATCAAATACCTAGGAGTAAACTTATTAAAGGATGTGAATGACCTCTACAAGGAGATCTACAAACCTCTGAAGAAAGAGATTGAGGAAGACTACAGAAGGTGGAAAGATCTTCTGAACTCATGGATTGGTAGAAACAACACATTAAAAATGGCTATACTACCAAGAGCAAGCTACATGTTCAATGCAATCCCCATCAAAATCTCAGTAATGTTCATCACAGAGATTGAAAAATCTACCCTAAACTTCATTTGAAAACACAAAAAACCGCAAATAGGCATGGCAATACTCAGCAAAAATAGCAATGCTGGAGGTATTACAATACCTGACTTCAAACTATATTACAAAGCAATAGCAATAAAAAAAGCATGGTAGTGGCACATAAACAGATATGAAGACCAGTGAAACAGAATAGAGGACCGGATATGAATCCACACAATTATGCATACCTTATTTTTGACAAAGGCACCAAAAACATACGATGGAGTACAGACATCCTCTTTAACAAATGTTGCTGGGAAAAGTGGTTAACTGTTGGCAGAAAACTGAAGCTAGATCCATGTCTGTCACCCTGTACTAGTATCAACTCAAAGTGGATTAAGGACCTTAATATCAGATCTGAAACTCTGAAGTTAGTACAGGAAATACCATGGAAGTAATAGGTGTAGGCAAAGACTTCCTCAGAAATCAAGCAGCCCTGCAACTAAGAGAAAGGATGTACAAATGGGACTACATGAAATTACAAGGCTTCTGCCCAACAAAAGTAATGGTCTCTAAATTTAAGAGACATCCACAGAGTAGGAGAAAATATTCACTGGCTATACATCAGACAAAGGACTGATAACCAGAATATGCAGGGAGCTCAAAAAACTAAACTTCCCCCAAATCAATGAATCAATAAAGAAATGGGCAACTGAAGTAAACAAAACTTTTTCAAAGGAAGAAATCCAAATTGCCAAAAAACACATGAAAAAATGCAAACCATCTCCGGCCATAAAGGAAATACACATCAAAACTACACTAAGTTTCCACCTCATTCCTGTTAGAATGGCTATCATTAAGAACATCACCACCAACAAATGTTGACGAGGATGAGTAACCCTCATACACTGCTGTTGGGAATGTAAGCTAGTAAACCACTGTGGAAAACAATATGGAGGCTTCTTAAAAAACTAATCATAAATCTGCCATATGATCCTGTAATCCCATTCCTAGGTATATACACAAAGGAATGCAATTCAGGTTATTCCAAAGGCACCTGCACATCCATGTTTATTGCAGCACTATTTACAATAGACAAGCTATGGAAATAGCCAAGATACCCCACTACTGACAAATAGATTAAGAAAATGTATTTATGCACAACGGAATTTTACTCAGGCCACAAAGAAGAATGAAATTTTGTCATTTGGAAGTAAATGGATGGAACTGGAGAATATCATCTTAAGCAAAGTTAGCCAGGCTCAGAAGGCCAAAAGTAATATGTTCTCCCTCACATGCGGATTATAGACCTAAAAATTTGTAGTAATATTATTGAACATGGGTCACACGCTAAGGAGAGAACACGTAAATGAGGAATAGGGAAAGGTAGGAAACCCAAAACTTGAAAGTATTTTATGTGCCCACTATATAGGAGCTAATATAGCAACCTTAAAATGACAGAGGTCACAATGGGAAGGTGACCAGGAAGTAGTGAAGAGGTCTGGTAGAGATGAACCAATTAGGGTTGTAATACACATATACATGGAAGCAACACTAGGAATCTCTCTGTATAGGTATCTTTATATCAAACTAGAAAAATAATATGTATTTCTTATTATCTCTTATGTTTTGTCTTCAACAAAATTGGAGAACAGTTTCTGCCTGGAAGTGAGGGGGTGAGGAGGGAGGGGGAAGGGATGGGAGCAGGGGGGAGAGATGGGCTAAACAATGTATACAGATATGAATAAATGAATAAACAATAAAAATTGGATGCTTCATCTTCCTTACACAAGGTCTCATCACTTTGCATGGTTCCAACTTTAACATATATGCTACTTAAGTAAGGACTATCTACCCATGTGTCTGTCTATCTATCACATCTCTCTCTCTCTCTCTCTCTCTCTCTTTCTCTCTCTGTCTCTCCTTACCTACCTACCTATCATCTACCACAACAGATGCTTCTCTGTCTCTCTAGCTCTCTTTTAGAATCTCTATCACCACGTCTTTGCCTTTTATCTTTGTGTCTTCCATTCAGGCTCTGGATTTTAGGACTGTTCTTTGCCACTACAAGTCAGTCTCCCGAATTCCCTACCCCCTGTACTCCCTTTCTTTCTCCGAGTCTTTCCTTAAGCTCCCAATCCCTTGTTCATTGTGTGTGTGTGTGTGTGTGTGTGTGTGTGTGCGTGCATGTACATATATATGTGCGTGTTTCTATGTCTTTGCTTTTCATCTTGTCTGCTTCTATTTCTCCTCAGTCATCCTATAACATCTGGGGTTATTGGAACATGGGCCTCAGAAAAGAGTTAGAAGACACAGGGAATACATAACACACAGGCACTGGTATCTGTTCCTTCACTCAAAACCATGCTATTTGAGGCAAATTATGGCTCAACCATATGGAAGGAAGAAGTATTAAAGCAGACCCACATCTATGGGTTACGTCTGGGCTAAGGCCTCAGGATGAATGGGGAATCAGCCTAAGAGCTCAGTTCAGCCCTGAAACTCAGGTTAGAACTGTGACATGTTTGGTTCTCCTGGTAGAGAAGAGAGGATGAAGGTTAAATGAAAACCCAACTCCTGAACTCTGCTAGAGCTCTGAACAACATCAGAGTAGAGGACCCCTCTCTCTGGTCCATGGTTATCTGTCACTATATTCCATTTATGAATCCTCTGCATTGTTCTGGTAGCTGTGATTTACATCATGACTTTGTTCATTGTCTCTGCTGGTAACATTTTCATGAAGTCTGTCTCTGTCTACAAAAACTCCACATTCATCTTCCTCAAGATCCCTGGGGCTTTGAAGTCCTAGAACATCTGATATTTATCTCAAAGAGGATGAGGAGTTGGTCTGGATAGCCACTTGTCATCACAATGTCCAGAGGGTCACTGGGTTTTGACCACACATAAGGTTGGTGATTGAGAGAACCTTAGCAACTGTAGGTCCCTGCATGGGCAGGGATCAGTGGACTTATGGAGACATTGGCCTGGGAATCCCCGTAACAAGACTCTCCAGTGTTATAAGGTAAAACAAGGCACGACCACTCAAGAAAGACTTTAAGGGAGAGTCTTTATTAGCCAGCTGGCGACTGCTCTGACCAATGGGTCGTCAGGACTGAGAGCAGCACCATTCCAACTTTTAGCAGGCAAAAATTATATCCTTCCTGGCAATCTTTGTAAAGCAAGCTAGCCTAGATATAGACGTGAAACAATGGCTGTTAGCTAAGGTACAGAAGTGAAACAATGCCTGTTAGCTAAGGTACAGAAGTGAGACAATGGTTACTATCTATGAGCATGAGTACACACAATTAACCAAATCCATACAATCATTTGACCGTATCCTACTTTGGTTCCTTCTGTTCTTTTAATTTTATGGGAACCATAACCCCTCATGAAACTCCTTCAGCTTGAAAGCTAAAACAGAACCTGATTAATCACTCTCCTCTGGCTAAGTTATTAACCATTTCACCAGAAAGATTCAAGGGGTCCTTGGTTACTGCCTATCTGTGCAGAACAAGAAAGAAGGTCTCAAACATGATCTCAGAGTGACATTGCAGGGTTACCTTCCCTCCTTCTTTCACCAGGGGACTTGATTGGGCCAAGAGTGAGGGTTTTCTGTAGGCTCCTAAGGACAAAGAAGTTGTGAGTTTAGGAAACACCCTTCCAGAACCCATTCTTGGGACCTGGAAGGACAGATTTTCCTTTACCCAGTCTGTCTTCTTTCTGCTCTGTGTCCTTGTGTCTTGTTCTCTCTGTCCTCATCCCCACCATCTGTCTCTGTTTCTCTGTCTGTAGTAGCACCAGACACCATTCCCACTGGGCTCATTCTGGGCACATGTCTCTTGTATCCATCTCCCATAGATCTCTTTCCTGCCTTCCATAGTTGGGGGAGACAGAAACCATGGAAGACTGCATTTCCATCCTCTCTTGTCAGCTTATTTCATGTTCTTTTGGATAAACTGAAAGCTCTGCTTTAGAGCTAGTTCTTCCAATGTCCACCTCACTTGTTCCTGGAGGAGGTCCACTGACATGTCTGGGCATTCTGCCTGGCTCCTCATACTCAGGACAGCCCTGACTCTGGATCCAGAAGTACTGGCCCTTCCATGCCTGGTGTCACCTTGGTACCCTCCCATTAATGATCTCTTCCCCTATTGGACTTCTTAATCTGTCCTTTACCTGGGTGCCTGTATAGTCTGCAATTGCTGCTGTGACAAACTGGCATTACATGCTGCTTAAAAAGAACACAGATGTACTTTCCTTCAGTTGTGGAGGTCTGCAGAAGGTCCCACTGATACAAACCAGGTGTCTATAGTGCTGTGCTCCATCTGGAGGCTTTAGGGGAAAATACATTTCTCCTACATTTCCAGCTTTTAGAAGCCTCTAGCATTCCTTGACTCACAGCCTCCATCCTCAGAGCTGGCTGATGGTCCAGCCTCTCTCATGCTTCAATGCTCTGACCCTCAACTTCCTGCTTCTTCTTATCTGTGTGGAGCCTGTGGATACTTGGAGCTCAGCTGGATGATTTAGGGTTGTCTCTCCATCTCAAAGTCAACTGATTAACAACTTTCTTCAACTTCTACCTTGATTTTTTCCATGCCATGTAACGTAAACACTCACAGGCTTCAAAGATTAGAATGAGGTTTTCTTTGGGGGACCATTGTTCTGCCCACTGCAATATTCAATTCTCTGTATTGAGTATTCATTAATCTAAAACACATTCCTGTTTTTCTGATTGGACCATGACTGAAATCCTTCCAGAAAACTCTGGGATTAGAATATTTAGAGGAGTGAATTTCCACTCTGAACATGAGCTCTGACCTGAAACTATGATCACCAGAGGGTCACTGGGTGCTGGAATTCCATTAGGGAAGTGAAGATTAGAGCTGAGACATCTGTAGGTCCCTGCATGTGCTGGAGTCATGGGCTGGAAAGGAAGCTATTCTGGAATATTTTGTCCTGGAGCTCAGGGATACAAGCCCCATCTTCATTTTTCAGCCTGAATATATCAAATCCAAGACAAGAGTCACATGCTCTCCGTGAGGAATGACAGGGCTTGGCCAGGCAGTCAAGGTGGGTTTGTCATGACCTACTTTGAAGAAGGAGGCATGGACAGAGCAATATGAGGTTCCCCCTCAATCATTATGCTTACAGCCTCCTTATTCTTTCTATGCTTATTTTATAAAGAGTTCTTATTAGTGTATATTAATTGTACAAAGGTGTTTCATTGTGCATTTACAACATGTATATCATGTGCTTTGATCAAATTCATCCCATCTATATTACTCTTTCTTAACATTGCTCTCCTCCTTCCTTTTCCCTTTAATTTTAACAGTTTTGGAGGGTTTCACTATGCTATTTTCATACATATATGATGGGGGGTGCCCAGAGCTATCAGAAGTCTCCCTACCACCCCATAAACAATGTCATTTCTTCCTACAACAAAATATGTTGGCTGGGAATCTTAAACATGTAATGAATAATGACTCTTTCTAGACTTGGTCATGCAAAATTACTTGCAAAAATAAATCAAATTAAATGGAGTAGAGGGCAATATTGGTGTGAGAGAAATTATGTCTGCTGGTGAGTGATGTGAGCAAGAAGGTGCAATAGGACTTCTCTGTCTTCACCTCCTTCAGAATTCCAACTAAACACAGGCAAGAATACCATTGTGAATATCCTAGAAGTTGGAGGTAAGGCTGGGACAGCGTTAGACCACAGAATTGAGAAACACCACAACAGAACAGGAAGTAGAGGAAGTCTCTTGGACACTGCCCCTCCTTCTTGTCCTGTGCAGGGCTTCATGATAGAAATCCCTGTGCCCATGGTTTACACATTGGAAAGAATGTGTTAGAGGCATACATTTGGCTTCCCTACAATTTTGGGTCCTGTTTAAGTGTCTTGCATGGGAAACACTGGGGGTACCTGCAGGGCTGGATGACCTAGGGCCATTTGGAGCTCAGTGTGGGGCTCACAACGGCCAGTGTATAAATCTTGGAATTCAGTTTACACTAAGCCAATGAAGGTGCCTCACAAGAGAAAAGAGACAACTACACAAAACTGTAGGAAACACCATACAGATTCCAACCAAGGGTGACTCTCAGCCAGGGAGGACATCCTGCCAACCCTTTCCAGTCAGAGATAATCATAAAGCCTTGCCAAAAACCATACGTGGTTGCAGAGTGCAGCTAATGATCTCTCTGGACCTCAGAGCACAGCCAGTGATGACACTTGTCATAAGAGAACAGGGAAGAACCCAGGCCAGCTGGAGAACTGGACACCACAGTCTACCTGTCTAGGGTTTCAGACATCTGGACCATCCAGAATCTCAGGGTAACCTAAATGGTAAAGGTCAATAACTACCAAAAAATTACTGAAAAGGCCATAAGAAAGGGGCTGCCTCCTCAAATGTTCAGGTATCATTATAAGGACACAAGGACTATGAATAATTAGGGAAATATGAGGCAAGAAAAGAAAATATTAAGCTCTAGTAGGAGAGCCCCAAAAAAAGCAGATCTATGGAATGACCAAGAAACAACTCAGAGTAATTCTCTTAAAGAAGGTCATGAAACTATAAGAGAGTACAGATAGAAAGTTCATTGCCATTTGCAAATAAATTATTGAAGAACACAAGTAGATTGACAATGAAATAGGGACAAAGGTAAAGAATATAATCTAAATTTAAAAAGTAGAAAACTTCAGCAGTAGACTTTGTCTGATGGAAGAATCAATGAGTTGAGACCTGATATTTGAAATGATCCAATCAAATGCACAGCCACAGCAAAAAAACAACCAAACAAATAAAAAGGGAATGAAGAAAAATTACATAACTTATGAGATAGCATCAAACAAGAAAAATTTCTGTCATTGAAACTGAAGTGAAAGTAGAGAAAACAAAGGAGAAGAAACCCTATTTAGAGAAATAATCAGGGAAACATTTCCAGACCTCAAGATAGATACAAGCATCTAGAAACAAGAAGGTCAAAGGACATAGATGAAAATAAGTCCAAACAACATGGCCCCAGTTAATATTATTAATCAACCATCAAAATCAAAGTTAAAGAGGGGATCCTGGAATCCAAGAAAAGCTAAACACACATAAAGGAATTTCAGTATGGCTAGTCACAGACTTCTGGGCAAAAACCTTAAATGCCAAGACAAATAGGAATGATGTATTTGAAGGACTGAATGGAAAGTGCCTACCAGGAATAATGACCCCAGCAAAGCTGTCCTTCAGAAATAAAGGAGCAATAAAGACTTTCTCAGAAAAACATGCTGAGGGATATCATCACCACCAGACGTGATTCACAGGAAAGGCTAAAGAGAGTTCTTCAAGCTCAAAGGAAAGGATATCAATAAAACATGAGCACATCTAAGAGCATAAAACCCCTGGGAAAAGTATAGAAACTCAGTACAGTGAAAATTAGAAACCACTAAGAGTGTAATGGTGGAGCCAATTTATATGTGCAGCATGAAATTTAAAACAGAAAAATAATAACTTCAATCATTTGTTATGTGCAATCTACAAAGACATAATTGTGAAATAAAGACCTAAAAATATATGGGGAATAGGTGAGAAGTGAATAAAACTGTAAGTTTGGTTTTTGTTTGTTTGTTTAAGAATGAATGTTAAAAACTGTCTTATCCATCTGCAGAGTGCCTGGATGGGTCTGGGACAGAGTTGGGGCTCAGGTTTCCAGGACCCCACTTTCTAGTTCACAAGAGATTCATCTACAAGGCTTTCCATTGTCAACCCACCTGACCCAGTGCTGTCTGCCTTCCTGTACAGGAGTATCTTTCCATTTGGGGTGGATGGTGACCTAAGGTTCGGGGACAGGCTCACTCACTTGTGCCCAGATCTTCTGGACCAGGAAGAACCCTGGAAAGAAAGAGTCATGATGGATGATGCATGTACTTACAGAATCTAAAGACTGTATTCCTTTTGCCCTCCACTACCCTGTGAACTCCAGCAGCTGCACCCTGCTCAGTAAAGGTCAGCTCTGCCCCCAGTGTCCACCCACACTGTGGAAGCAGTGGTGTTTTCTGAGCCAGGGCCAGCCTCCCGGGATGACATTTCCACTCCAATGCTCCCTATCCTTCATTCCCAGCAGGACTCACCAGGACACAGCACAGTGATGAGTGTGGGCAACATGGTGCTGACCCTCCTGATAGGGGGTGGCAGGCCAGCAGAAGTGCATGGGATGTTGTGAGGGGCCCAGATCCTCTGGTGCACCATTGACTACATCATGGAAAGGTGTCAGACATAAGCTATTGTTTCCTTGCATGTGGCTGAACAATTTCCTTGCAAGATGGCTTCCCTGAAATTGTTCAGATTCAGCTGTCCTTTCTCAGCATGTACCATGGCTGGAGCTGGAGCTGGAGCACATCATAGAATGATGAAATTGTGTAATTGAATCAAAAGCTTTTCATATATTTTTATTTAGATTGTTTACATATTGTTTTTATTTGTACATATTAATTGTACACAATAATGGGTTTCAGCATCACATTTTTATACATAAAGTATCTGACTAATCTCACCCCATCATGCTCTCTTGTTACCCCTCTCCATCCCAAAATCATCCCTCTTCTACATTTATTTAAAAAGATATAGATGCTGCATTTAAGAGGAAATAAGTGACATTTGACTTTCTGATCCTAGCTTGTTTCACTGATTATGATAATCTCCAGTTCATCCATTTTCCTGAAAGTGACATAATTTCTTTCTTATTTAGGAATAAGAATCAATTCTGCTTTATACCATATTTTCATCTGTTGAGGGTCACCTAGGCTGATCACATAACTTGGCTATTGTGAACAGTGCCCCAATAAACATGGTGCCAGTGTCATTAGCAATCATTAGTCCCCAAGGTTTCATCTTAAATACAACTTTGAAATTAATCTACTATGTCAGCACCATTGTGTATCACATGGGATTCCCTCTGTACTTTATTTAGGATCAAACATAGTTATGCCTTCCTCAGTGGTAAGCATTATCTTTGTTTGAATTTATAGAAATTGGATATCCTCTCACACACTTTTAAACAATCCTGTGTTAATTAAATAGCATGTTTTAAGACTGGTCTCCATTGCTGCTGTTGAGTTAGTGTGTTAACTTTTCATATAATATTTCACCATGGGTATAAAGGATTAGCATTCATTTTTAGGAGACTGATTGATTTTAGAAGATTTTGTCCAACATGAAGGGCACTGCTATAGATGTTATTGTGAGTGTGTCCTGGTGCACAGTCACACTCATTCATCCACGGTACATGAATAAATATCATAGCAGTACATCCCCTCCATTAAACTAGATCACTTCAATGAATTCCCATTAAGTGATACCCAATTAGGTACCACCATAGAACAATTGGTTATTGTAATGCATAGGAAGTGACTGCAATTTGTGCTCAACTTTCTCCCAAAGTTGACGTTACTCTTTCTTTCCACCCTAATGTTGATGTCCTAGGATTCTTGTATCTAATTTATCAGAAACTGTGCTGAAGTGGTGCAGCATGGTGTTGTCATATCTTTAAAAAAGAGGAGACATAGGCACACATGAGGCTGACAATGAGATGGCTGCTGCTGTCTCACACTAGTTTGAGATAGCTGTCTCACACTAGTTTGAGATATCAATTTTTGTGCATCACTTCAACTCTTCATGCAATGATGGAACACTGTCACCTAGAATTAGTGAAGGAAGGAAATTGTGTACATCATAGACATTGGCAAACCACCAATCACTAATTTTATTGAGAGCTGGTTTGCCAGGATACCACTAGGCTATTGCTTAAGACACAGTGTTCATCCCATGTGATGACATTGAGACTGGGGTTTGAAACCAGGGCTTTGTGCTTACAATGCAGGTGCTCTACAGCTTGAGCCACACCTCCAGTCCATTTTGATTTTTTTTTTGGCTATGTAGTTTCACAAACTATTTCCCTGGGCTGTCTTTGAACTGAGATATTCCTAATCTCAGCCTCCCGAGTAGCTAGGATTACAGGCCACAGACACCCTGCTTGATAGCATTTTATTTCTAAGAAATCATGTGTTGCTTACTTCCAGAAAATCTCCTATACCATGCTTAATTACTAAATTTTTATCTCCTATAAAATGACATACACAGTGATTTGTGATACTATTTTTGAATGATGCTTCTTTTCTGTAATTAAACAATTCTATAGGGAAAATCAAAGGTTATGTTCAATACCCTCTACTCATTCATTTATTCACTCTCGTCAGCATCACTGGTTCTTATGTGCATCTTGTTCTCTCACAGGCACAGGAAAGAAGTCCTCCTCCCATGTTTGCATCCGGTGTTTACTCAGTTTCTCTCTTGCAGGACCACAGCTTTGGGGGCCAATCTTACCTCTGAATGTGCCATCAAATTCATGTTCAACGGAAATCTTTCATGCTTGAAATTAAAGCTCTCTAGTGAAGGAAATTATCTTAAGTATGAATGTGTTTGCTTCCGTGATGAAGGTTTTGCATTGTGTATAATTAGAAAAACATTTGTGATGATGGGTGAACTGAACCAAGATACATTGTAAGCATGTATGAAAATGTCACAATGAAACCCCTGTACAATTAATGTATGCTAATAAAAATGTACAAAAAGACATGATCCATGTGTAAAAACAAAGATCTGTTTACATGGATTGCGATGGAAAATTTTAATGATCTGTTAGGTTATTAAAGTATAATGATTGGTTTTTACAATTAAGCTATCCTTATTTTCCATTAGCAAATATGTAGAATGAAGGATGTGATATTTTTTAGGATTTACATCTAAGATCATGGGAAATATTTTCTTATGACTTTTTCCAATATTGTACTTTGTTTCCCAAGGTTTGTATTCATTTTTTCATTGTCTGATAGAATGTGTTTGGGAATAAATGTGTTTGGGAATATTTTCTCTTTTCTCTATTCTCAGGGAATGTTTAGGTCGGGGTGTGTATTGCATGTGTTGTGGATTTGCTTGTATTTCAAAAGTGCATAAATACTTAGATGACATCAATAATGAAGGGTCCTATATTGGAGTTAAGGTGGAATTTTTCATTACCAAGTCATGTGGTCTCTGTGTGCAGTGAACTACGCCATCTGGGTTTGTGTAACTCTGTGACTTTCACACAATGAAGGAATAGACGAAAGTCACATTGATCAGAACATATCCTTGTAATTAAGTCATGCCAATTGTAGTTAAGGTCTGTTAATCAATCCATGTCTTCTATTTATTCTTATGCCTATTCTGTTAACTAAATATGGAAATTTTTCCCTTTGTTTACATTTTCAATCTGTGAACATAAAATGTTCATAACACTCTGTTTCTTTACATGAATATATGCTCTGTCTCACTCCTCTGTGGAAAGGTCACCTGCTCCCTGTCTTTCTTGGTCACTGTGCCTGAGATTTATAAATGTCATTAATGTTTGAAGCATGCACTTTTTGGGTATTATTTATATTTATTTGTGATTCTGTTTGTCCACATTAGTGGCTGCTCTTATCACATTACTTCATTCCCTGTGCTTTCATTGAGAATAGGTTGCTATTCTTTTCTATATTCCCAATATGATAAATAAGATCATCTAATTTTAAGGTTTTTAAATTTTCTTTATTTCTTAATGGTTGTGAAATTTCCAGTTTCATGTTTTAATGTGCCATGGTAACGTGATCATCCAATTCAAAACTTCCCTCACCACAGTTTTGTTTTCTCACATCACTCATTGTTTATCAACAAGTCTTTTGTTTTATTCTCAAAATATAAAGATATCAGTTATCTCTGACAGCCTAATCAGGTGAGACACACAAGTTCCTGGAGGCTCCTAGTGCCAGGTGATTTGTCCACGATGGGTGGCTCATCATTAGTGTCCACCAGGGCAGGTCCTGTGGACTCTGAGACCCCTGCATGGAGTGAGGGATCAGGGTCTCCCTGGGCTGGTGGACACAAGAGCTGTGAGCTCTCTGGTCTCAGCAGGGCTCCTCTGACTGGGAGGAAGGAGCTGCAGTTGTTCCCTGTCTGAGTGTCACATTGCACAACTGTGCATAGGTCACAACCTGGGGACCCTCGGATGCAGCAGTCTTGGTAGAGAGAATGATAGAGAATGTGCACACTTGGTGTTGGTGAGCCAGGAGCCCAAGGAGGACAGGAACCACCTGATTGTCCACCAGTGTGTCCCTTTCTACCATGTGCCCTTCATGTTCAGGAACTCCTCCAACAGCAGGGAATGAGTCTGAGTCTGGAGTGTTCACCTCCATGTAGGTCACCCCCTGTGGGTCTTCCTCAGGTGGGCCCTGCAGCAGGGAGACAGTGAGACAGAGACAGACCCTCCTGGTGCCATCTGGATCTCCTCAGCCAGTTTTCCCCATGCTGCCCCAAGTGGTACTTTCAAAAATTAAATAAGATTATATCATTCCTGATGGGGTCTTCAGGAGCTTCCTAAGACCTCTGAAAGTCAGACAGCTTCCTTCCTACAGTTCTGAGCTCTCATCCTAACACTCAGACCCTTACTCACATGTCTCAAGCCACACTGGCCTGTGTGACAGAGTGTGTTCCTGCCACAGGATCTTTGCACTTGCTGTGTCTCCTGCCAGCAAGCACTGGTGTAGTAGATGTTTTTGCTCTCTTTTCTCTGCTTCATTTTCCCTAATAAACTTGCACTTCTAACACGTGGCATTTATTTGATGTTGTCTCCCAATCTCAAGGTGAACTTAGGGCAGAGGGGATTTCCAGTCACTGCTGCATCTGCAGGCCCTGCAGGGAGCATGGTCAACACGGGGCTTCCTGTGGGTGGCTGGGGGAAGGAGTGGAGGGGCCTCAGGTGCATAGGGGGTTCATTTAGTCATGTGTGTTTCTGAGACCCAGGAGCAAACTAACAGCCAGACAGAGGTTGAGGAGGCAGGAAACAGACAGGAGGGAGGCGCCATGAGGTCACAAGAAAGCCAGGAGAGAGCAGTCACAGCAGGTGGAGGTGGGAGCTCTCAGAAGAAAGGGATCAGGAATGGATGTCTCAAAGTGCTGAATGAGGGGAGGTCACAGAGGGTTCCTTGGATGAAATTGGGCAACAGAAATTCCCCAGTGTTAAGCTCCACCTGGTACCCAGTCTGTGTGTCCTTCACAGCTGCATCTGTTGGGACAAAACTGGGTGTCATCTTCTGGCGATGTCCCCAGGTTCACAGTGTGGGGTTAAGACTGACTCAGCCCAAGCCCACTTCCTCCCACTGTGGTACGGAGCCCTC